GATGAAAGCATATGTCCCAAAGTGTCATGAATATCAGAACATAACTTTCGATCTGTCTCCCGGTCTAGCATTCCAAAAAGGAGTCCCTCAAGACCAGTTTCTGTTATATTAACACCTTGGTGCCGGCAATGGATGTCACTTCGCGAACTAACCCCAGGTGCAAAAGGATTGACATCTGAAAAGCAGTTTATACAAATGAACTTTTATGGGATTTTGCTGTATGTTATAGGTAACAATTATGTTAAAGACCAAGTCTTATAAGTAAATTCACAACAGCAACAAACCCAGCTAGCTATATATACAATTTAACTATTGTCTCTAATTCATATATCTTTATGATTAGAATTTACTCTGACAACATGATTTTTAAGACTGATTATTCTGAGATATTGTAAACAAATCTCTATGGAATGCTCAATAAATATTTGATTCTAATAAGAAAAAGTGTGAGAAAGAGATATACTTCTAAATATATTTAACGAACCAAAAATAAATTGCTATATTTGTTAAGAAGAACAAATTGAAACTTATTCAGTCTTATAGTTCAGATTTTAGTCTTATAGTTCAGATTTTAAAAAATCTATAAAGCTAGAACACAAACTCTAAATAGATTATATCCTGTAAGTTCGTTTAAAAGTTGGAAAAATCCTTTCCAAGTAACGTATAATCAAAAAGTAATACTGTTATGAAATAGTGGTTAAATTTCTAACTCTATCTGAAAACCATTTTCTTCTTATTAACAGCCTTAAGAATGAGTACTACTAGGCTCTCTGAAGTCTAGAGCCCTCTGAACACTGAAGACAGTGAGATAGAGGGATGCAGCTGAAAGGTAGCTATTCTTGTTGTGTCACCCCAAAGACAGAATAAGGGGAGGTTTAAAGAAAATAGCCATAGTGAGTGAAATTCTAAGACAGTAGAAAAAGTTGAAAGAAAATGTTTCAAGGAAGGAGAACATTAGGAAGAGTTTAGGAACAGGGACCTTTTATTCACTGAGTAGTAGGTAGAGATTATTTCCCATATCAATAATTTTACCTCTACAGTGTGAATTTTAATGGTCACATAGCAAGCCAATGAATTAAAAGAACATTAACTGATCAACCATTGAGGATGAATTCCTAAAAGGGGAATTGCTAGGTCAAAGGGTAAACACAGTTTAAAATTTTTAGGGATACACTGCCAAAAACCCTCTGGAAAATGTGTATGATTTTACACTTTCATCAGCTGTATAAGAAATTTCTCTTTTATTCATACATTCTTCCAACACTAGTTATAATCATTATTTTTAATCTTGATCAGTTTTATAGAAGAAAATGATACCTTATGATTGCAGTAACTTGAGATTTTTTAATCACTACAGCTTAAAGGTATTTCATTTGTTGGTATTTTTTCTTTTATAAAATGCTGTTTATGTGCTGTAGTGATTTTTACAGATACAGAAGAATTAACGTAGCAGGCCTGAGACTACCTTAGTAAGGCCTGATTGCAAGGTTAGTCCTTGGCTTGTGTCTGGGAATTGGGTTTTTGGAGATTTCCCACCATTAATTCCCAATACAAGTGACTTGCTGTACCTAAATTGTAGTTTATGCTGCACACCTGTTTTCCTTCCGAGATTCTGAACTTTTGGTATGTGCCAGACAGGCCATGCCTATAGGACCAGCTCCTAATAAAAACGCTGGGCACTAAGTCTCTAATAAGCTTCCCTGGAGGACAACATTTCACACATGTTATCACAACTCAATGCTCAGGAATTAAGTGTGCCTGGTGTGACTCCATAGGGAGAGGACTCTTGAAAGCTTGTGCGTCATTTCCTCTGGACTTAATCCCATGCACCTTTTCTCTGCTTATTTTGCTTTGTATCCTTTTGTCGTAATAAATATAGCCATGAATATTTCTATATGCTGGGTCCTCCTAGCACGTCATCAAACGTGGGGGCTATCTCAGAGACCCCCAACACACTTATTTGTAAAAGCTTTAAAAATTTTTATATTCTGTTAAAATAAACACACACATTAATACATAAAATAAATGTATTTTGCAAATATTTTTCCCTATCTTAGGTTGTCTTCCAATTTTTTATTTTTTTTAGAGACACAGGGTCTCGCTATGTTATTTAGGTTGGACTTGACCTCCTGGGCTCACACAATCTGTCTCAGCCTCCTGAGTAGTTTCAATTTTGATTATGGTGACTGACATGTAGAGGTTCTGAAATTTTATAGGTATCCAGAAGAGTTCTATTTGCTCTCCAAAAAGCAGTAATGTGTACTGTTACACTTTTATAAAAAAATTCTTTTACATTCTACAATACAGTATGTTTGTTAATAGAAAGCTCTTATTATACTATGCTAAAACTGAAGTTATTTTTGTATCTTGTTTCTTAGTACCCAAGCAGCTGCCAGGCATTAGAAGCATTAGAAAGGTCTTATAAGTAAAAATTTTCTCTCATTATAGGGGGAAATATCTCTGAGAATTAAATTCTTCTTTAGAGACAGGGTCTTACTCTATTGCCCAGGTTGGTATGCAGTGGCCCAATCATAGCACACTGTAACTTCAAACTCCTGGGCTTAAGCGATCCTCCTGCCTCAGCCTCCCGAGTAGCTAATGCTACAGGCACATACCACTGTGCCCGGCAAATTTTTTAAATCTTTTTACAGATGGGGTCTTGCTTGTTGCCCAGGCTGGTCTCAAACTCCTGGCCTCAAGTAATCCTCCTGCCTTGGCTTCCCAAAGTACTGGGGTTACAGGCATAAGCCGCTGTACTGGCCCAGAACTCTTAAGTTTCCAAACCACCTATCCCTAGAGGTAAGAAGACCAGCTATGAATTCAAGCTATACTTAAATATAGCTTAAATATACAAAGAGCAGAAAGAACCTAAGAAGGCGAAGATCAACCTTTTGCTACCAAACATCTACTGACATTTCATAGTTTTATTGGCTACTTTGGCCTTATCTTTTTAGAGGAAAAATTATATCATAAAGATTAACTACCATCAAAAACTGGAAGTTTTCACATGCCCCCCAAACATATAATTTCTCTTTTCAAAAGACTATTAGTTGATACAGGGCAATATCCATGGAGTTATTCATTTCTTATATAGCTAAAACATCCTGAAGGGATGGAAGAAGTATCCTGATAATAAATGCTATTAGTTTTTTTAGCTGCAAAATTTTTTTTTCTTTTTTTTTTGAGACAGAGTCTCACTGTGTTGCCCTGGCTAGAGTGCCGTGGCATCATCCTAGCTCACAGCAACCTCAAACTCCTGGGCTCAAGCGATCCTTCTGCCTCAACCTCCCAAGTAGCTGGGACTACAGGCATGCGCCACCATGCCCGGCTAATTTTTTCTATATATTTTTAGTTGTCCGATTAATTTCTTTCTAGTTTTAGTACAGACGGGGTCTCACTCTTGCTCAGGCTGGTTTTGAACTCCTGAGCTCAAACAATCCGCCCGCCTCAGTCTCCCAGAGTGCTAGGATTACAGGCGTGAGCCACCGCACCCGGCCTCACTGCAAAATTTTTTAAAAGTGAAAATGCAAAATTATAAAGGAAAACTACACTGGAATTTTTCAAGTGATAATGGTCTTATTTCAAAGAACAAGAAATTTGCCCACTTTTCAACACAAAGATGTTATTTAATAAATAATACTCATTTGAAACATAAAAGTATTTAAACAAAAAAGAATATTGACCAAAAACTTACTAGCACCACTGCTCTCTTTGTCCCCTGCATTTTTGGCTAGGCTCATGGCATATTCACATACTTCGGCTGCTTCTCTTTGCGCAAGTTGTCGAAGACATGCCACAGCTGCTCGTCGAAGTAACAAATGGGAACTACATAAGTGAACCTGTAAACCATAACAATTTTACTCAATTTTTTTAAAAAAAAGCCGTACTTCTTTAATCTCATTTGTTTAATGAACATATATTAATATCTTATTTGTGAAGATGCTCTTCATTTAACAAACTCAGCTATTTAAAATATAGCCAAGTAATGGCCTTTTGGCAAAATAATACTGATATACAAAAAATATGTTAGTAGCCAAGATAACTGTCCCAAGATCTATGCACAAAAGCTAATAAAATACACTTATATAAAAATCCAGAAGGATCTTTTGCACATCTTATTTTACACATGGTCCAACTAAACTTTGTCATCTAAATTTTTTAAGTACACAGAGATCAAATGTAGTGAATGAAAAGTTAGGGGGCTGAGTACACAGTAAGAATTAAAGCAAAGGAGTTATTTATTAAAATGAAAAAACAAAACCAAGCAAACATAAACACCTGAAAAGAATTACAAAATGGGGCCTTTTGGTTCAGAATATCTTTCATCTGAGAAGTCTCCGAAAGAATCAATATAGTTCAGTGTAATAGACAAAGTAAAATATAACACGCAGGACAGCATAATAAAGAACTCAGAACAAGTCCCAGACTAGGTTTGAATCCTGGTTCTGTCACTTATTCCTGTGCGACCTTGGACAAGTTACTTAGCTTCTCTGTGCCTTGATTTGTCCGTGTGTAAAATAAGAACAGTAATTCTTCACAGGAATGTAGTGAAAATAAGTTAATGCAAGTAAAACACAACAGTAGCTGGCACATAATAATAACAACTGCTCAATAAATGTTAGCTATTATCATTATTATAACTCTGACTCATCAAAAAAAATGTTAAATTATGTTCCATGTGCTGCTTTTTAAGCAAGGAAGTAATATATTTTAGAAAAAATCCCAGCCACAAATGATAGGGATGGAGGAGCATAGTTAATATGGAACACATTCCCTCTTCACAATGTTAGTGTATTGTTTTGCTATTTAATATAGCATTTATAACTCAAGATACACTTACATGAAATTCTTAGAGCAAGAAATTTACACAAAGTATTAGGAAAAATAAAATGTGACTAAGGGGAGAAAAATCTGACAGATTTTTATCAACAAAATGTTTTATTTACTTCTGTTCCTGAAAATAAAGGCATTTTAGAACTTTCAAATACTCTATAATTCAAAAGCTTAAATATGGTCATATCAAATGGGAAGAACAAATCGCTTAGTCTCTTGGAGTTTCTGCCTTTTATCTGTACAATGGGGACAATATCTACCCTACCTGTCTTACACAACTGCTGTGAGACTCAGATGACAAAACATATGAAACAGAACACCACAAAAATTTAATTTAATAACAATTACAGAGAATTGTAGCTAAGAGGATATACTCAACAAATGCTGACTGGCAGAGCCAAAGTAAAAGAAACAAAACATTTTGTAATTTACAAAGTGTTTTCAAAAGATCCATTTCAGTGATTCTCAGGTGTATGTTTCTTTCTCATTTTAACATCTGTCATATTAGTGATGCGAAGTACAACCAATGGTATCTTGCAGTCCCTATGTTTATTGAAAAAATGATCCTTTCCACACTGAATTGTAGTGATACCACATACCACGATCTTAAGTTATATGACCATATATGTGTGAAACCAACCCTGGACACTCTATTAATAGCGTTCTATTTGTCTATACTTGCAATACTACACTGTCTTTCTTATTGGAGCTTATGGGAAATCTTCACAGTAAGTAAGTACAGCAAATTCTCCAACTTCATTGGTCTTTAAAAGTCCTTTATATTTGCACATAAAGTTCAGAATCAGCTTGTCAATTTTTCCAAAAACACCACTCCATTTGGCTTCTGTGAACAACACAACCTCTATTTTTCCTGTAATCTCTCTGACCGCTTCTGCATATTTTTTGCTAACTGCCTTTCTTTTTTTCTAAATTTTATATGTTGGGTTCCTCATTCAGCACTCTCTCCCTGGTGATCTCATCTACTCCTAAGTTTTTATTTGCCATCTAAATGCTTATGCCTCCCAAGTTTACCTCTCTAACCAGACCTCTCTTTTCTGAGCTCCAGGCCCATGTAACTAACTACCTACGTGTCTAAAATGGAATTAATGATACCCACTCTTCCCAACCTTCTCCTCTTCCAATGTTGCCAATCTCAGGAAATTACATTATGCTATCAGAAACCTGAGCCACATCCTTCTTTCTCCTCCCCCTCACCCAGAGCCAAATTAATCAACAGTCAATCCTTCCTTCTCAATTCACTCAAATCCATCTATTTTTCTCCATTCCCATTATTACCAATTTAGGGGAAATCATTATCATCTTCCTCCTAGAATACCATAATCTTACCCTGTAGACTCCATTCTCAATCATGCAGCAAGAATGAAATGCAAAAAGTGCAAATCTGATCATGTTACTTTCCTGCAGAATACCTTTTAATGGTTTCCCATCGCTTGTAGAATAAAGTCCAAAATTTTAATATACCTAGAAAGTCTGCAGGATGTGTCACCTGGCTAAATGTCCAGGTTCACTGTGTTCCCCTCTGGCCTGCATCTCCCTCCTCTCTCTCAGCCTTAACCATACTAATTGGTTCTAAAAGTATCACACTCCTTCCTATTTTAGGGCCTTTTATATACTTCGCCCTTTGACTAAAAGTAAATGCTGTCTTCTGCAATATCATACCCTCCTGCAAACTAATTCCTATTTATCCTGCAAATTATACCTTAAATATAATTTTTTCAGGAAAATCTTTCTGAATTCCTACGTTCTGATATGCCTCCCTGTTATATGCACTCTCTCTCTCTCTCTCTCCTGTAGCCTACTGTAGCACTTATCTTATTTGTAAATAATTACTGCTGTCCATTTTCCTTTGTAAACTGTAAGTTTCATTATGACAGAGACTTCCTCTTGTCTCAGGCACAAATGTACCTCCAGTACCTTCCACGGTTCCTGACATATAACAAGCTATCAATAAATACTTGTTGAACAAATAAATTAACAATTGCAATGGTAGCAACAGATTCTCAGAAGTTATCAATCAAGCTTTAGGAAATAAAATTCTAAATAGGAAAGACAAAAATGACTATTGAAGCTGAAACCTTAGAATTCACAATCCAGGAAACTTACATTTTTTGTTTTGGTCCAGTTTGGTCTTTTGGGAAAGAAATATGGAGCTCCCTAAATAAATGAATGACTGGAACAGCATTATACTTACACAAAGGCTAGGAACGAGACTAGATAGATTGACGTGTCGTGGTGCAAACATGTGAAGCTGCTGAAGGCAAGATATGGCAGCTGCCTGAACAAGAGAATCAGAATGGTCCTGGGTTATTGCACAACCCACCAAGCAAGAGGAACGAATTGTAGAAATTGTCGCTCCATTCCCTAGTAGCAAAATGAAAGAAAATATAAAATAAAATCATTCTATTAGTTTCATCAAAAATACTGCTAGTAAATAATTATCTTCTGAATAACCCCACCTTCCAATGATTTATTTATTTTTCTGAAACAGGGTCTTGCTCTGTTGCCCAGGCTAGAGTGCGGTGGCGTAATCATAGCTCACAGGCGCCTCCAACTCCTGGGCTCAAACAATCTTTTTAAGTAGCTGCAACTACAGGCATGAGCCACCATGCCCAGCTATTTTTTTTTTGTAGAGTCAGAGTCTCGCTATGTTGCCCAGGCTTCTCCTTCCAATTATTATTCAGATTGTCTCAAAAACAAAAATCTGCAAAGTTCACAGAAATGGTTTCAAAACACGACTGTGTGTGGATGACAATAATGCGTCTCTCTTAGATTCAGCTAGATTTATATTTATTCCCTGACAAACTATACTATCATCGTTTTATTTGACAGAGCCAGAAGATTTCTCATTCTCTGGTTCTCTGTTCAATCAATATTATCACTTCTATTATATAATAATTTCAAATATTATTTTTCTAACAACATTAATGGCAATTTTTGCAGAGATGGAGAAAATAAATTATAATAATATACACTCTCTATATAAGAATTTCTTAATTGCCAAATATAAGGGACTCGAAACCTTTTATTAATGTAAAATAAAATAATTTTATAAGCATATAAAGACCAAACAAAGAAATCACAGTATCACATAGAGTTACCTTTTATTTTTTTTTTCAGAGACAAGGTCTCATTAACTTGCTCAGGCTAACTTAGTGGCTATTCACAGGCACGATCATAGCACATTACAGCCTGGAACTCATAGGCTCAAGAGAGCCTCCTGCCCCAGCCTTATCATTGTTTCAGAAAACAGCTGGTAAACACCTATGCTTAATTACAGGTGCATATTTATTCTCTTCATATTCCTGTGACATTCACAGGAACAATGAACTATCCTCACTTTCCCAAAGAGGACACTGGGTTCAAAAAAGAGACTTGTCTAAATCACGTATTTTTCATTTCCTAGCAGTCTTCCTTAGGTCCTTTTCTTTCTTCTTTAAAATCTCTCTCCAAATGGAGGCAACATAGCACAGGGATTAAGAACACAGGCAAAGGAAACTGATCTGGGCTTCACCTCTGACTCCAATCATTCACCAAATAGATATATATAACCTTTGAAAAGTTCTTAGCCTCTCTCAATTTCAGTGTTTCATCTGTAAAATGGAGATAATACCCATCTCTGGATTGTTGTCAGAATGAAATGAGATAATGTATATAAAAAGTCTGATACATTGAAAGCATATAATAAATGACAGAGGGGAAAAGAAAATGGTTTACATATTCAGGATGCATTCACAAAATTTGATGACTTTAGTGTTTAATTTAACCATTAGTAGAATTAGTTCAGTAGAACTGAGTGGTAAGAACACAGGCTTTAGGATCATAAGTGTCCCATTCATAAGTTGAGTAACTCTACACAAGTTACTTATCTTCGTTGAGCTTGCTTCCTCATAGAAAAATAAGATATTATCTGTCTTACTGCAGTGGTTTTTCAAACTATGTTCCTAATCCTTAGAGTTCAAAAAGAGTTAAGCAAAAGTCCGGGAAGACAAGTGGATGGCACGGCAGGCCAAAGGAACTCCGTTTTTATCTTTGTTTTCATGAGGTTCCAAGTAAAATTTCATTTAGAGATGATTTCTCTGCCCAAAACTTTGAAAAACACTGTCATGTCATGAGTTTATTATAGGGATTAAATAAAATAGCACATGTAAAGAAATGCTGAGTGCCAGGCCTTTGGTAAATCATGAGTATTCAGTGCAAGGCAACTATTACTATTATTATAAAATTTCTTTAAGTAATGTGATAAAGACATTCAGAAAACTTAAAGACAGCAATTATCTGCCTAGTTTTTAAAATTTAAGATGAATTTCCTTACCTTGTAGTTCAGGACCAACAGTAGTTATTATAGCCCCCAAGCATCTACCCAAACATTGATGAACTTCCGTATGTGAAGGTGGAACTGTCAACAGCAAGGTGAGCACTAGAGATAATGTTGGTTCCACATATCCACGATACATTGGGCCACTGGAATCCACAATCAAAGCAAGTGAATGAAGAGACCAAGTCTAGAATAAAACATAATTTTATTTTAGTTGTAAGGAATAATTAGAGTACAATGAATTGTTAAATGCATATACTTTTAATATTTTTAGGCATATCAACGTGAAGTGGCAAATCAAGAAAGCAGGATATTTTCACATACACTCTTGACCCTCACTGTAGTTATATTTATTTATGTATAAAATGTTTAAGGGGAAGCAACGAAAACAAAAAAATTCAACTTGAAGATTCAGCCAATGACCCAGAACCTGAGTTGGGTTATTAGAAGAAAGGGAGAGAAGAATGGTTACTAAAAAAAAAAACAACTTGATCAATCTAACAAATATAAGGAAATACAAAAAAGAGGAAACAAGTACAAAGAATAATAAACAACATATGTTTGAGGGAAAGTACATGAATGAGTTAAAGTCTCAGAATAAGACAGACTTTAAGATTAGGTTGAAAATCAAAATCTTGTTACACACTATTACGAATAAGACCCTAATACATTTTTCCTAACAACTTACCACAGTCATTATTATTTTAGAGTGCAAATCATTTCCTAAAATATTATATAAAATTTTCATAATAAAAAAATCAATACTATTATACCTGGACTTCAGGGGATGTTCCATCTTGTGCTAGAGCCAATAAAATGCTGACACTGGTCTTCAAATGTTGTCCTGAGCCTATACCACCAACATAACGATGCAAACAACCAAGAGCCAATGAATGACCGGTCCTAGAAACAACATCTCGAGCCGATTTTAACCTGAAAAAAAGATTATGCTTCAGGGATTGTTTTTTCTATTTTCCTATGATAATAACAAGCTTATGAGTCACATAAAAAAAGAGATGTAATCTGGAAATCAGAAAAGATTACAATCACGATTACTTCTTTCTCCATGCCCTAATAAGAGTTAGAGATTCAATTTAAAATAGTTGGTTGGCTGGGCATGGTGGTTCATGCCTGCAATCAGAGCACTTTGGGAGGCTGAGGTGGGAGGATCACTTGAGCCCAGGAGATTGAGATCAGCCTGGGCAACACAGCGATACCCCGTTTCTACAAAATGTAAGAAAAAACCAGCCAGCCAGGTGTGGTGCACACCTCTAGTCCCAGTTATTTGGGAATATTATTTTTCTAACAACATTAATGGCAATTT